GTCACTGAGGTAGTAGACGACCGCCCTCCTCAGCGGCGGGATAAGGAGGAGGAGCTGACTAAGAGCGAGTAATCAAGTGCAGCAATTAAGAGGTAGTTCGCTTGTCTTTAAAGGGGGGGGGGGGGAGGGGACGAAGGATAGGAGGGAAGGGGCGGAGGGGGAAGGGGCAAAGGGTAGGAGGGAGGGGGGAAGGGGGAGGAGGGAAAATGAGAGGAGGGGAGAGTGGGAGACGGAGGAAAGGGGAAGGAGGAGGAGAGGAGGGGAGTAGAGAGGGAAGTGGAAAGAAGACAAGAGAGGGGAAGGAAATAGAAGAAGGGGAGAAGGACGTAGCGAGAGAAGAGGAGAGGGGAAAGGGGAGACGAAAGGGGGGGGGGGAGCGGCAGGGAATGACAGGGAGAGGGAAAGAGAGAGGGAAGAGACGAGGAAGAAGGAGAGGAGGAAAATTTGTGGAATGGAGGAATAAATGTGGGGGAAATAAAGATGGAGAGACAGGGATGGGAGGGAATAGGGGAGAGGAAGAGGAAAAGTGAGAGGGAAGGAGAGGAGGAGGAGGAAGAGGAGGAAGAGGAGGAGGAAGAGGAGGAGGAGGAGGAGGAAGAGGAGGAAGAGGAGGAGGAGGAGGAGGAAGAGTAGGAGGAGAAGGAGGAGGAAGAGGAGGAGGAGGAAGAGGAGGAGGAGGAAGAGGAGGAAGAGGAGTAAGAGGAGGAGGAGGAGGAAGAGGAGGAAGAGGAGGAGGAAGAAGAGGAAGAGGAGGAAAAGGAGGCGGACGAGGATAAGAAGGAGGAGGAGGAGGAAGAGGAGTAAGAGCAGGAGGAAGAGGAGTAGAGGAGGAGGAGGAAGATGAGGAGGAAGAGGAGGAAGAGGAGGAGGTGGAGGGGAGGAGGAGGAAGAGGAGTAAGAGGAGGAGGAGGAGGAGGAGGAATAGGAGGAAGAGGAGGAGGAGGAAGAGGAGGAAGAGGAGGAGGAAGAGGAGGAAGAGGAGGAGGAGGAGGAAGAGGAGGAGGAGGAGGGGAGAAGGAAGAGAAGGAAGAGAGGAGGAAGAGGAGGACGAGGCGGAGGAGGAAGAGGAGGAGGAGGAGGAATAGGAGGAAGAGGAGGAGGAGGAGGAGGAGGAGGAAGAGGAGGAAGAGGAGGAGAAGAGGAGGAAGAGAAGGAGGAGGAGGAATAGGAGGAGGAGGGGAATAGGAGGAAGAGGAGGAGGAGGAGGAGGAGGAAGAGGAGGAAGAGGAGGAGGAAGAGGAGGAAGAGGAGGAAGAGGAGGAGGAAGAAGGGGAAGAGGAGGAAGAGGAGAAGGAAGAGGAGGAAGAAGAGGAAGAGGAGGAGGTGGGGGAGATTTGTGAGGGAAGGAGAGTAAAGGATGAGGTATAAAGTTATGGAAATGAGGGATTTACGATGGTGTAATGGGGGGGGGGGAGGGGTTAAAGCAAGAAAAAGTTGAATAGTTATGAGAAAGTTCGCTTGCCTTTCAGGGGAAAACGCGGGGGGGGGGGGGGGAGGTGTAGGCGTAGGCTGAGAGGAAGAAGGGTATAGGTAATGGAAGTTAATGGGTAAGGGGAAACTAGGGGTAGAGTTAGAGAGAAAAATAGCTCAAAAAGAGAGGCATTTGTGGGTATATAGGTTTAGGTGCGGAACTAGGGGAGAAGGGGGAGGGGGGTCAGGGGCGGAGTTTAGGGAGCTAAGGGAGAAGGGGGAGGGGGTCAGGGGCGGAGTTTAGGGAGGTAAGGGAGAAGGGGGAGGAGTCAGGGGCGGAGTTTAGGGAGCTAAGGGAGAAGGGGGAGGGGTCAGGGGCGGAGCTGTGAATTGTGGGAGGAGCTAAGGGAGAGATTTGGAGTAAGGATGGAGAGAAAGAATATTAAATAGGTAAAAAGGCATGAAATGTGAAGAGGAAAGAGAGAGAGAGAGAAAAAAAAAACAGGAAGAGAAGACTATTCGAGAGACGAATGGGTGGATAGATAGTGGGTAGAAGATGATGGGCGAGAACAGAGGAGTTTGAAAATTTATAATAGACAGACACTGAAGAGGGTGGAGGTTAGAGAGGGAAGGAAAGGGAGTAGGGAAGGAAGGAAGAAAGAAGTGTATATGGGTAAATCATCATCACCATTAACATCATCATCACCATTAACTTCATCATCATTATTGTCCAAGTCATCGTTAATTTCATCCTTTTCGTCAACACCATCACCGTCATAGCCTTTTATCGTCCAAATCATAATATTTCTTAATATCATAATTATCCATATTCATCAATATTATCCCTATATAGTTATCGTCAATATTCAAAACATCATCACTACCTTGACATAATCATAATCTTCCTCCTTAGCATTATCTAAAATATCATCATATTTATCCTTCTTATCATCACTTCCCTATCATCCTCATTATCCAAATCAATATCATATTTAACTATCTTATCACACACACACACACACACACACACACACACACACACACACACACACACACACACACACACACATACACACACACACACACACAC